GTCAAGAGGGTAGCTTCTAGAAGACCCTATGTTTGGGAACAGGACTCTGCACCAATGTCAGAAAATCTCTGTAACTATATCACCACTTAAATCTAGCCACCTAATTCTCCAAACTGCAAACCCCTTCATTATTGTCTGCGGAGCGCATTTGAGCGAGTCCAAAAAACCTCCATGTAACACCAAATATGAACTGAAGGTAAGGATTCACCAATTTAAACTAGGAGACTGTCCAGAAGAGATGCGGTAGATTGGGAAGTCGTTTGAAATTCGCGATTGAAGCCAATGGGGATTTTATTGAATGAATTTACTCTTTAGTATTTCAAGAAATATTTGTGTAGTTTTGGTAAATGTAACCGTTACAATAATTATATCAGTGTTTTTTTCTATTTTTATTTTGTGCGTAAATTAGACGACAATTTATCCCTCACACCATATATATAAGAGAAAACACAAAAAATGATTATTAAACGGAAAAGTTCCGTAATTTTAATAACATGACATGCTCCCAATATATATATATATATATATATATATATATATATATATATATATGTGTGTGTGTGTGTGTATATAATAAATACACACACAAACACACACACACACACACACACACACACACACACACACACACACACACACACATATATATATATATATATATATATATATATATATATATATATATATATATAATAATGAATATCAAACACTTACAATGCTGGCAATAATCTTTATTTCATGAAAGCTATAAAATAGACTTCAGTACGCTTGGATCTTTATCCTCTTGGAAATTCCATACGGATTACCAGTTTAATTATATATATCTATATATATATATATATATATATATATATATATATATATATATATATGGCAGCAAGTTTTCATTAAATCATGTCTCACTGAATATTTTAGACAAGATTTAGCTACTTATTTTCAACAGTATCCTCTCATATTCACAGACAACTTTCTTAGTACCTTTATTAAAGGAAGTGAAAAAAAAAATTACCACTTTCATACATGTTCATTTATTCCGAGTACTTTCGACATTAGTGCAATGTCATCATCAGAGAATTGTTTCTTAGACGATCGTATTGCAAATAAGTCTACAAAACATGACTAACTTATTCAATGACACACACACACACACATATATATATACACACATATATATATATATATATATATATATATATATATATATATATATGTGTGTGTGTGTGTGTGTGTGTGTATTTGTATGTATTTTGAGGGGGTGTTACATCTTCATTTATATAGTATGTATTTATTTGCAAATTTAATCGTTCCTGCTATATTAAATATCTCTCTCTTTGCGATATGTTACACGTTTCATGTATCAATTTTTAGTAATGCATTCGCCGGCAGGTATCATTTCGTGTTTCCGATTGTACCTCGGTAGAATAATCAATAATTTATCGAACTGCTTTAAGAAAAAAAATAATAAAACGAAAACATCGTATTTGCTGTTCTCTCTTGAGTTTGAAATGCACCTGATTGGTGGATGTTGTGGGAGAGGCGAAATGATCGACCATACTGATTGGTGCCTTCTCGTTCGCAAAAGGAAAACTAAAATGAAAATATAAATTAAAAAACGTAAAAAAAAAAAGGAAAAATGTCGATCAGTTGAAATAACTCAAGAAGCCTTAATCAAAATTTAATCAATCATTTTTGCACGTTTTCCTTCAGGTGGCAAAATAGAACAGACAATTTTTAAAAAAATAAGAAAGAAAGAAAAAAGGAGAAAAAGAAAAAAGGAAAAAAGAAAAAAGCGAAACATTTTCTGAAAAGAATTTCATGAAACTAGAAGTAAATATTGAAACATAAACTTCGACGGAAGCGCAGATGTAGAATATAAAAGAATAAAAATAAAATAGATCAAAGTGACCAAAAATATGATATTCAAGCAGAGACAAAACCTTATTTAAAACTAATTATTTTTCAACGTTTCGTACGAAAGATATTTTAACTACCGTTCACAAACGTCGAAGAATTGTTTTCAACGTCATCTGTTTTTAATATTTGAAATATAATTTCCCATCTTCGTTCATTTTAACTATTCTGAATTCTATGGCTCTCTGGTTCAGATGAACTCGTCGCTATGGTACCTAGAGTTTATTTTGAGTTTAAGCTCAGTACTAGACTGGCGTCGAGATCCCATCAATTTACAGTTAAGTTGGCTAGATGCAACCGTAAATTCTATGCTAACAGTTTCTTCTCTTACACTTCTCCCTTCCGGTTCCATGATTTCCTGCCAATTCTAATCTGCAAATATTTAAATGCTATATCAATCGCTATCTATTGTCCTCCTGATTACACTTCTTGCTCCTTAGTAATGTTTCTGTTTCAAACTCTTTCACACCCAGTAACCTCTTCAGTCTTTGTGGCTTTAATGCCTTGCTTGGGGTAAAATTGATTAATAAGAAAAAATTGTGACTTTTTCTGTGACTTCCCGAATTTTGCGAGTTCTTGGTTTAATCGACGAAAGGGTATCTATATCTCCTACGATAATAAGTTCTGACCTTTGACATTTGTGCTTGTAAGAAGGTCGAGGCTTGGTGGTGGAATACTGCAATGCGCAAAAGTAGATTATGGATAGGGCTGTGGTGGGTGTGAAGGAGACAAAGCAGTGGCTATGTTAAGAGTTTCTTTTCTCGGACTTCTCGCTTGTGGAACTCTTTTATGGTTCTATGCTTTCCAACCAACATTAATCTGCAAAAATGTAAATGCTATATAAATCGCTATCTACTGTCCTCCTGATTACACTTCTCGCTTCTTAGCAATATTCCTGTTTCCAAATTTTCCACACCCAGTAACCTCTTCCGTGTCCCTGGCTTTACTGCTTTGCTTAAGGTGACCTTGATTTAAAAAAAAATGGGAGTTCTTAGGTGACTACCCAAATTTTGCGAATTTCTGCGTCAATCGACGAGAGGATAAGCTCATCCCAGGGGTCCCTATAATTTTTTTTAAAATTAAGCTCGTCAAGATCTCATCAATTTACCGTTGAGCTAGCTAGATGTAGCTGCATGTTCTATGCTTCTAGCTTGTGGAACTCCCTTTCCGGCTCCATGCTTTCCAGTCAACAAAAACTTAAATGCTATGTCAATCGCTATCTACTGTACTCCTGATTACTCTTCGCTCTTCCCGCTCATTATTAATGTTTCTGTTCCTAACTCTTCCGCACCCAATAACCCTTTGTGTCTTAGTGGCTTTATTGCCTTGCATGGGAGTGAAACCGATTAAAACAATATTATTTTTATTATTATTTCCCTTTTTCTCTATTTTAAGTATTATTTTCAATAGCTACCGGTTTAGAGGATGTTTAATAAGAAGAATCAATTCTAGTAAATTTCAAAGTCGGTTAAAACGGAACTTAATCGGAAATCATTTTTTTACCGCTAATATATTTTAAAAAGAACGTTTTCCTAACGTTTATTTGGATTTGTGTTTCTTTAAATATGTTTTGTCTATTTCTCTTCTGGAGTGGTTTCACAGTGGAGGCTTGCATTTGTACTAAGTCGGTCCTAAAATAGGTTCGACGTACAAAACGTTAGGGACTTCATATAATAGGTAATGACGCAGAGAAATCTAGTTGTAGTCGCTGATATTTTAGTATCTGATTTAACGGTCGTCCGGCATCGACTGACTGCCCGACCTACTGAGCGACGGTAGTTAGTCACCCCTCCCACGAGGGCATCATGTGGCACAAGGAATCTCCGAGCCCGTGGGATCGGCCAAAAATATGCTCTTTAAACCCGTATAAACGGGTTCAGGGTCGGTTTACCTCCCCGAAAGAGACTCCGCCCTTCGACGTAGCCTCTTTCGGGTTCCTCCCCACCCGAAGGGAGAGAGTTCAATCGGTCAGCCGGTCGTCCGACTTCAGACTGAACTCAGACCGACCCACTTTGCGACGGTATTTAGTCACCCACCTCCACGTGGGCATCATGTGGCACAAGGCCGGTTTAACGTGGGATCTCCGAGCCTGTGCGCTCGGCCCAAAATATGCCCATTGAACACGTATAAACGGGTTCAGGGTCGGTTTACCTCCCCGAAAGAGAATCCGCCCTTCGGCGTAGCCTCTTTCGGGTTCCTCCCAGGCCGAAGGCTGAGAGTTCAACCGATCAGCCGGTCGTCCGACTTCAGACTGAACTCAGACCGACCCATTGAGCCACCCTCTCGTTACTCTTACTACTACTACTTATTATAGGTGGGAGAGTCTATTAACTATAGAATAGGTGTGTTCCACCATAACAAGTTCTTAATATTTAAATAGATTTAACAAACTTTTTTCAGTTAACTCCCGGAGGTAATATACGTTTGGCCGATTATGTATTTTTCGATTCGGGCTCTTCGGCGTGGTGTTGTGGTTAGCAAGCTTGTCTCACCAAATCAATTACGACAGAATAGTGAGTTCGATTCTCACTGACTGGCCAATACTTTAGGCCTTGTTCCCCATCTAAGCAAAGTATAGAAAATTGTTTTCATCAAACCGGTTTTGTGTCACATCTTGTCACCAGTTTGACAGATATGAATGCCAGTGCCATACGTGATACACGTTAGAGCGATCACGTCTGTTTCGATTTGGATCCCCCCGACGTGGTGAAATGGTTAGCAAGCTTCACCCGTTGATCATTTACGACTGAAAATTGAATTCGATCCTCACTGAGTGCCCTGTACTTTCGGCCTTGTTAGCTATGCTTAAAAAAAATCACTCTTTCGATTTATGACTGACTAGGCAGATATTTTGTTGCCCCTATCAGTTTGATGTCCCTATCATTCTCCTGTAGACTGTTTGCGAACCAAGATTTTAGCCCCAGTCTTTTTTCTGTTATTTAACCCATATGTGGGAGAAGAGGAAGGGAGTTCATATATTTCCCAATTTTGCGCGTAAGTGAATATAACAAGCCCCACGGGAACTAGAACTCTGCTCTCCGCTTAAAAATTCCGCGCCATTATCCTTTACACCATCCGCATATCCAACCTTACAGCAAGTGGTCTTCCCCAGCCGTAACACATCTAGGTACTGACCAGGCTCAACGTTGCTTAAATTCAGTGATCGCACGGGAACCGGTTTTTGGAACGGGATACGTCTGTAAGTATTATTTCTATGGAGAGTGTTCGGAATAACCATATTCCTTAGTTCTACCAGTTCTACCCTTCACCAGTAAGACCCGCCATGCCACGCCATTGTAGCGAACCGCCTCCATTTCCTTCGTATTCCATTCGTGAGCTGTACGTTCGACTCGAGCGGATTGTTCTCACGAACTGCTGATATGTAGAACGGACTACCAAGAGGATGCTTCAACGATTACTAAATTTTTAACCGCATAGGCTCTCTCTCTCTGACCAGTAGAAAATGGCCGCAAACTACATGAAAACTGCCGTAGAAGCATGAAAAAAAAAAACGATTATTTCCACTATCGACGGGAGTTGGAAAATGCAAAGTCGGTCTAACTTGGAGCATGTGCATGTAAATTTTGGTGCAAATCCGTCGAAAATTGCACACACACACACACACACACACACACACACACACACACACACACACACACATCCTGCCTTTTATAGATAGAGATTAACAAGTGAGTAACTCATTGCATCTTCTCTGATTAATGTTTTCTGATGGCATGAAGGGGAAAGATTATATTGAATGAAGTGCTGGTTCTGCTGCTAGGAAAGTTGATTTACTGTGTCATGCTAAAGAATTTTTCTAACCAGAATCTATTTTACATTTTTATAAGTTTACCATTCATCCTTGCTTTGGATATTGCTGCCTGGTGCTCTTGCTATATATTTAGAGATACTTGATAAAATCCTAAGAAGTATCTGCAATGTTATTGGTCTTTGAGTCACTTTTTAGTATTTAATAAACCTGACATAGTTTTCACCGTTTTCTTGAATTACTCTTTTGTCTTTCGTATTCACTATCAACACTGTCTTGCTTGTTTCTTTCTTTCTCTCTTTCTCTTTACTCCTTGCTTTTCTTTCTATTTTCATTCTTCCTTACATTATTTTTTATGTGTTATCACCCTCTTTCGTTTCATTATTTATTTTCTCGTCGGTTTTTCTCCCTCCCTGACAGACTTTCAGTTTTTCTTTTTATCTCATCTTTTTTCTTTGAGGATCTTTTACCTTGCATTTTTTTTTATCAGAGTTTGGCTCCCTTTTTTAAGTTATCGTTGACATTATTTTATACTTTTTCTTTGTCTTATTTTACCAAACGTTATCTGACTTTCTTTCTTTCTATATTTCTTGCTTTCTTGCTTTCTTTTTCACCAACGTTTTTGTCTTTATTTTTTCTCTTTGCTTCTTTACTTTCTTAACTTTTGATCTTCCATACATTGTCCTTTTTCCTTTCCATATGATTCTCACGATTTCTCTCTCTCTTCATCTATCTATCTATCTATCTATCTATCTATCTATCTATCTATCTATCTATCTTTCTTTTTTTCTTTTGTCTCTCAATTCCGCTTCTAATTTACCCTCTTTTCCTCATTTCTACACTTCTTCCTTGCATACATTCATTCTATTTCTTTTACCTACGACTAATTTACGTCATTTTCTTTCTTAACTTTTGATCTTCCATACATTGTCCTTTTTTCCTTCCCATAAGATTCTTACGATTTCTCTCTTTTTTCGTTCTTTCTTTTTTCTTTCTTTCTTTCTTTCTTTCTTTATTTCTTTTTTCTTTCTTTCTTTGCTATGTCTCCATTATTCCTCTCACATTTGTCTCATTCTTCTTCCTTTCTTTCTTTCTTTCTTTCTTTCTTTCTTTCTTTCTTTCTTTCTTTTGCCTCTCAATTCCGCTTCTACTTTTCCCTCTTTTTCTCAATTCTACACTTTTTCCTTGCATACATTCATTCTATTTCTTTTATCTACGACTAATTTACGTCATTTTCTTTCTTAACTTTTGATCTTCCATACATTGTCCTTTTCCTTCCCATATGATTCTCACGATTTTCTCTTTTTTCGTTCTTTCTTTTTTTCTTTCTTTCTATCTTTCTTTCTTTATTTCTTTTTTCTTTCTTTCTTTCTATCTCCATTATTCCTCTCACATTTGTCTCATTCTTCTTTCTTTCTTTTCTTTCCTTTCTTTTTTCTTTCTTTTTTTTGCCTCTCAATTCCCTTCTACTTTTCCCTCTTTTTCTCAATTTACACTTTTTTATGCATACTCATTTATTTTTTTTACGACTAATTTACGTCTTTTTTCTTTCTTAACTTTTTTGATCTTCCATACATTGTCCTTTTTCCTTCCCATAAGATTCTTGATTTTCTCTTTTTTTTTTTCTTTTTTTTTTCTTTCTTTCTTTCTTTCTTTCTTTCTTTCTTTGCTATGTCTCCATTATTCCCTCACATTTGTCTCATTCTTCTTTCTTTCTTTCTTTCTTTCTTTCTTTCTTTCTTTTTTTTGCCTCTCAATTCTTTTTTTCCCTCTTTTTCTCAATTCTACACTTTTTCCTTTCCATACATTTTCTATTTCTTTTATCTACGACTAATTTACGTCATTTTCTTTCTTAACTTTTGATCTTCCCTACATTGTCCTTTTCATTTCCATATGATTCTCACGATTTCTCTCTCACTTTATCTATCTATCTATCTATCTATCTATCTATCTATCTATCTATTGTCTCTCAATTCCGCTTCTAACTTTCCCTCTTTTTCTCATTTATACACTTCTTCATTTCATACATTTATGCTATTTGTTTTATTTACGAATAATTTACGTCCTTTTCTTTCTTAACTTTATATCTTCCATACATTGTCCTTTTTTCCTTCTTTCTTTTTTCATTCATCCTCTCTTTCTTTCTTTCTTTCTTTGCTATGTCTCCATTATTCCTCTCACATTTCTCTCATTCTTCTTTCTTCTTTTCTTTCTCTCTTTCTTTCTTTCTTTCTTTTGGCTTTCAATTCTGTTTCTACTTTTCCCTCTTTTTCTCATTTCTACACTTCTTCCTTGCATACATTCATTCTATTTCTTTTATCTACGATTAATTTACGTCCTTTTCTTTCTTAACTTTTGACCTTTCATACATTGTTGTTTTTCCTTTCATTAAGCTTCTCATAATTTATCTCTTTCTTTCGTTCTTTCTTTCGTTTTTTTCATTCTGCCTTTCTTTCTTTCTTTCGTTTTTTTCATTCTGCCTTTCTTTCTTTCCTTTCTTCATTCTGCCTTACTTTCTTTCTTTTTGTTCGTCAATTTATTCCCTCTCATTTTACTAATTATTTTTCTTTTTTTCATTCTTTTCCTCTTTTTCATTCTTTCTTTCTTTCTTTCTTTCTTTCTTTCTTTCTTTCTTCAATTTATTCCCTCCCATTATTTCATTCTTTTTTATTTTTCGTTTTTTCATTCTTTCTTTCTTTCTTTCTTTCTTTCTTTTTTTTCTTTCTTTCTTTCTTTCTTTCTTTCTTTCTTTCTTTCTTTCTTTCTTTCTTTCTTTTTTTTCTTTCTTTCTTTCTGTGCGTCAATTTATTCCCTCCCATTTTACTATACATTTTTCTTTTTTTTTTCATTCTTTTTTCTTTCTTCCTTTCTTTGCCGACACTTATTTTATTTTTCATATTTTTCTCATCTTACTTTCTTTGTGTTTTTCTCTTTCTCTTTCTTTCAAATTAAGTAATTATCTGTTCCTCAGTTACTTCCTCCTTTCCAGGTATGTCTCTCTTTTCTTCATTTCTGTTTCGGCTTCCTGAATTAATATCGATTTTTCTTCATCTTTAGCCGCAAAGGACTAAAGCAAATTTATTCAAGCAGAGAGAAAATATCCTCCAGTTTTTATTCTCTGATCTGCATTCATTAATGAAAAGTTTCCTTTCATCGTCTCTTTCTTCACTTCCGATTTATTTATTGAGTTGTGTTTCAAGTCGTATTTTTTACATGTCTTTATTTACTTTGAAATTTCATGCATTTTTTTTTTTTGCGTTTCTTTTTCTCTTTTAATTTTTTCATGGCACCTGACATTTTTCTACTGATACGAAGAAATAAGAAAGAATTTAATTCCTCTACAGAATACCAAAAAAAAAAAAAAAAAAAAAAAATGGACGACGAAAATGGAAGAAGAAAGAAAATACATTCATATTGAAAAGAAACCAGCGAAGCCTGAAGTCTCTGGCAAAGTTTCATTTTTTTTTCTTCTTTTGCGTTATGATTGGTGGCATCATTGTTTTAATTTGCTTTTTAAATGAGCTCGATTAATTCGTTCCACCCGATCAGTAATTTACGGCTAAGTCCGGCTACCTCCACGGAGTTGAATCCCCTTCATTTCCTCCATATTGCAAACGAAATGAGAAAGTTACATTCAGAGAGCTTTTTCTCCATGTGTGTTTTCTCCAACGCTTCAAGTTACGATTCAATTATTACCTATAATAGATTACCATAAACTCAAAATCTAGACTTTCTGCATCCTACTCTTATAAAACACCTCATAATTAACACTCTACCTTGAGCGGCTCTTAAGCCTTGTATTTGGCGAAAGTTAGTTACAAAATAAGCAGAAATATCAAACAAACAAGATTCAAACTTTTCGCTTACTTACTCTAAAATTATTGACGCTAGATTTTTGTGTGAACTTAAGACAAATACTAACCCTGTTTTGAAAGATCGCTGATGAAGTGTGTGACCCACGTATAGCGTTTTCTGAGAGAATCTATAATCAAGTGGTGTTTGACTCAGATGAAAACCTGGAAGCAGCTCAGTGTTTTGGTAAGTGGTTGGGAGAAAGAGATTCCTGATCTTTAACAAGACAAGATCAAATGAAAACTATAGAGAATTTTTGCCGTTGTTGTGACATCTATAGAATCCAAATGGTTGAGAAACTCCACTCGTGCCAGAAAACGTCTGAATGTATATATCATCAAGTTAGTAGCGCCAAGAACTTTGGAGCAATACAATCTTACTTCTTTCTTAATTATTCTCGTTTGAAAGTAGATTTTGGAAGTATTAGAATACTGAGGCGTTAAAATTTACCGAAGATGTTTTGATAGCAGACACGTAAAAGAAGCTACAAGAGATTTCAGAGAAGTTAGTGAAGGAAAGCAAGAAGAAAGGACTAAACATTAATTTCTAGAAGAGAGAAAGTGGTTCTACAGAATGATCCTGAGATTACAATGATCCGAACATGCGTAGAAAGACGAAGTTTTAGAGAAAATGGAAACAAAAAGGAAAACAAAAAGTAACCCCATTCTTAGTATCAGGAAGAAACAGTTGACATTTCTACGAAAGATAATGAGGAAAGAAGACTTGAAAAATTCCTCGAGGCAATACTCATATTAAAAAACAATAAATAAATAGAAAACAATAACAATTTAAGAAGGCCTATTCCCAAATATATATATATATATATATATATATATATATATATATATATATATATATTATAAACACCGTTAGCAATTTGCAAAAGAAGTTTACAAATTCAAGCGCCCTTTAGGAGTTTGTATCTCCAATGGAATATATAATATTTATGTTGGTCACACCACAAACTCGCTTTCACGACGCTTGATTCTACATTTGAATGATAACTCTAACATTTTTAGGCATTTAAAACAACATGCCTGGCCGCGTACACAATTCCGGAAAATTCTCGTTGAAAACACAACTATACTTAAACATGAAAAAAATAAACAAAAACTAAAATTTCTTGAAGCTATATACATAAAACAGTTGAAAACTAACCTTAACAAAATAAACTATAAAATCTCCTATAATATTCTTAAATGCCTATAATTGATAACTTAAGCCATTGGGTTATACCAACGGCTTCCCAAGCTTAATACTTCTCGTCTTCACTCTCGCGTGGTCATGTGTGAAGTCAGGAGCTGTGACGCGATTTTCGCTTCCGCGTCTCGGATACACTAGTTAGTCGTTGCTTTGAATTTTTTCATGCAACAAAAAACCGACTATCATTATTGTTCCGTGTATTGGCTGATATATTAAATACTAATTGTCATCTTTTATAATGGCTTATGTTAGATTGGATTTAAACATATAAATATGGTGATATCCTTTCTTTCTTCATTTATAATGTTATTAAGATTATCAGACAAAATGAAAGGAATTTACTTAAAATAAATGGACAAAATTTGTCTATATTATATAATGAAATATGCATCACTGAAAAATTGCTGCCTAAATATACACAATATATAATAAACATATACACACACATCACACCTTGCCTACATAACAAAACACTTTGACTGAGTCACACAGCATTTACTATTTCTATAAAACTTTCTATTTGTCTATACCTACACTAAGGATGACTTTAAAAAATCAAAACCTTACACCATATTTTTTCCGAAATGAACTATGAGCAATTTCTGATGGATTTTCTTCCCAGTCTGAGAAGGATTATTAGCAATTTTGGAAAAATTGATTGACAAGATTAACCGGCACAAAATGTGTGTGTACGTGTGTGATCGGATGTTGTTTATGTGTTTCGACTGTTTTCATCCAATTTCGATGAATTTCTTTTTGTTTGATAGATAATTCTTCTCGGCCGGTTTTGAGTCCACATCGTTGGAGACAATGGCTCTCCACTACTTCCTGTCCATTATAACTCTCAACAATGTTTTATTATTTACTACACGGTAATTTCCTCTCTTCTCTTAAAACCGACACCAGAAAGCTCATCCGATAATATGGACGGGTCCTGTTAAAAATTAGCAGACAAAACTTGCCTAATCTATTCAACGAAACTTGCCTCAATATATATATATATATATATATATATATATATATAGACAGAGAGAGAGAGAGAAAGAAAAGGATACAGTTGTTCCAACGAGAGAAAACTGTATATTTTAAAAATGTGAGAAATCGCAAAAGTTTTTGGTTATAATGTGGATTTTATTTTTTATATTTCTGCTACACGGGTTTCCAATCTCGTGACCTTCTTCAGGCAAATAAAATGAATACATTTTTAAAAGGAATAATTATACCTCATGTTCTTTTAATGTCTAATTGTTCGTTTCCTGTATTTGTTAGTGAGCTTTGAAATCCTTTCTGAGTAGCAATAATATTTAGAATAATCATACTTATTATAAAACCCAGGTTGTGTGTGTGTGTGTGTGTGTGTGTGTGTGTGTGTGTCTGTACGTTTATATATTGGATCGGATTTCCTATATTTTTCAACAGATTTCAACAAAACTTCACAGGACTACGTAAAATTACCTTGCGATGGTTCTGACAGCGCCAAAAATTGGAAAAAGACAGTTGTTTTTGCACGAAATCAATTTGAAAACAAAATTAAGAGGCATCGCGAGAATGAAAGGGGGGAAAATCATATCGAGTTATACTTATTATAAAACCCAGATTGTGTGTGTGTGTGTGTTCGTTTATATATGGGATCGGATTTCCTACATTTTTCAACCGATTTCAACAAAACTTCACTTTTTTGGCAGGTTGTGTTTCTGATTGTCTTGCACACTTTTTTCTTTATTTTCACATTCAGAATGCTTTAAAAATTCCATTTACAAGACAATTGTTTATAATAAAATTCTATTCAATCGGTAGACTCATAACGATTGAAAATAATGTTTTTGTTTGAGCGTGGGTTTGACCAATTCGTAACAAAAAAAAAAAAAAAAAACTAATTAAGACATGCATGTCCGTCAGCCTTAAACAATAATCTTTGTCAATTTTATTTTTCAGTCTTTATGATGGTCGATATTGATCTATCTCTTACTGTTACATCCCCGGGCAACGCCGGGCTCTACTGCTAGTATATAATATACACAGACATGACAGATTTGAATAGACGCTCACAGAAACTGTTTATTTTATTAAAGAAGTAATTTATACAAATGAAGTAATTATAAATGGTCATAAATTTAATAACTAATACTTGGTTGACATCCCTTTTGCTTTTTTTTAATGCAAGGACCCTTCTACGCATGCTAGCGATGAGTTCACGAATATCATCTTGAGGGATTTCTCGCCATGTTTGATGCAATAATCCTAAAATTTCGGGTTTAGAAGATGGCTTCCTGTTCTTTTTGCGGAGTTTTCGATCTAATATGCCCCAAAGGTGTTCAATAGGGTTAATATCCGGGGACTGACTTGGCCATGGAAATTTATTGATCCAATTTTGTCTCAACTAATGTTGCGTTGCTTGGGCAGTGTGACATGGAGCTCCATCTTCCATAAATAGGGAGTCAACTTTTCTCATTCTACTACTTGAGAATATTGGAAGGAGCCCTTTCTTTAATATAGAAACATATTTGGTTGAATTAATGCTTCCTTCACACTCCACAACCTCTGAGCGACCATCACTCCAAATTGCACCCCATGCCATTGCTGAAAGGCCCCCATGTTTCACCGTTGGCTGCAGTTTTTTTTTAAATCAAACTCTTGACTACAGAGTCTCCATACCCATACTCTTCCACTATTGGAAAATAATGCAAATCTTGACTCATCAGAGAAAATGACAGTGGTCCAAAAGATCACACGTCTCTCCATCATCTCATGAGCCCAATCCTTTCTGTGTTTGATATTGGCTGGACGGAGAAGTGGTTTCTTTCTCGCTGCTCTCCCATATTAGCCCATCTTGTGAAGATATCTCACAGCTGTTCTGGAACTGACATCAACTTGTGTTGCTATGTCAGATGCATTGCAACG